GCCTCTGCGGTGTCAACAGGGACGCCCACGCACGCTGGCCCTGACGCACCCAGCACATCCCCGGGGCTTTGCCGGGGGCAGCCCAGCACCGGCTCCCGCTTGGGACAGCCGGGCTGTGTCTGCCTTACAGCAGTGCCGTAGGCAGGGAGAGGACGCCCATCTCTTCCCAGCAGCTGGGATGTCTCTTCTCTGGAACCAGGCGGAGGAGCAGCGGGCAGCAGCTGCTTTCTGGTGCTGCTGCTGGTGCCAGCCAGGTTGCTCAAGTTCAAGGCCGGACTGGTGCGGGCTCGGGGAGGCAGGAATGAGCCGGGCAGGGGAGGAAGAGGCTGTGGGCACAGCTATGCAAAAAGCATCCCTCTTGGAGCTGCCCCTTGGTCCAAACGCTCCCTTTTCAGTGCCCAGCTGCAGCTTCCCAGCAGCGCTGTCCGCTCCCAGAGCTCAGCAGCCCCGGCACAGGCAGCTGGTGGTGGCGGCTGGCACGGACAGCCACATACGCTGCAGCCCCTTTGCACCGGCCAGGCGGCTGAACAACTTGCCGCAGGGGTGCCCGCGCGAGGCGAGCGGGGCCGGCAGCACACTCCGTCCCCAGACATCCAGAGCCGGGACAGCAGCGGAGCTGCAGGCAGCTGCAGAACAAACTAACCCTGTGATACAGCCTCGCGGGCACCTCGGGTGGGCTCCCCAGCCTTTAACAGCAACGTCCCCCCAAGTTCTTCCCTTGTGGTACGCGAGGACTGAAAACAGCATCCATGGATGCGGCCGTGACAATCCTCCAGCAGCACAACCCTCAACCTGCCCTTTGGACACCCGTAGTGCCTCTGCTTTACCCACTTCTCAGCGATGCTGTAGCTCTTCCACCAGCCCCGCTTCTCCTCCCAGCGGCGTCTTCCCAGGCGGCTCCGCACCGAAGGCTTTAGGATGCTCTGTGGCATCAACCGTCCCAGTGCCTGAACCTGGTGGGATGCAGCACCCAGGACCTTCTGCGTGGAAGCAGGATGGCTGGTGGACGCACACCCAGAGCTTTCCTGGCAGGCTGATGTCAGACGCTACCAGGAGGAAGGAGATGGGGTGATGTGGTCACGCAGCCTTGCGTGCGCAGACCTTCCTGGCTTTGAAATCCAAGGAGCTGCCATCCAGTCACTGGCTGGCAGGGTGAGCCATGAGCTCCTGCAGGAACTGCCCGGCTCCCAGGAAGGGCTGGTGCTGGCACTGCCGCTACCTGCTCGCTGCCCCAAAGATGCCCCGGGCAAGCGGCCCGTGAGCGATGAGCAGGCGGGAGAAGAGCCCCTCTCTTCATCCCAAATCAGCGCTAAAGCTCCAGCTCTAAAGCTGCGGCAGCTCCTCAGGGATGAGGGCAAGCGGGAATACCTCCTGCCAGCTGGAGGACGGCTACCAGCTCTAAAGCTCCAGCTCTAAAGCTGCGGCAGCTCCTCAGGGATGAGGGCAAGCGGGAATACCTCCTGCCAGCTGGAGGATGGCTACATCTCAGCTGTGACAGTGCCTCAGGGCTCTCTCCCCATGGCCAGATCCACGGGAGGAGTGGTACTGTCCCCATATCCCGCTGCAGGGACTCTTCCTGCAGGGAAGCACATAGCCATTGCATCTGCTGCAAGGAACAGCACAGCTGAGCTGGTGCAGGGAGCCTGGGCAGCGTCCGCCTGCTCCCCCTGCCCTTCCAGCCGCCCCTCTCCCCAGACCCAGGCACCGGCCGGGAGGAAACATCCCCCGAGGCAGCCCCTTGGTCTGTAGCCCTGCGAGGACGAAACAAACCACCCGCATGATCCCCGACCGTAACGCAGAGAGGAGGATGGAGAGCTGGTCTGTGCCACACGGTGCACCAGACAAGGGCAGTGACACGCTGAGGGTGACCTCGTCCATCAGAAACACCAGGCTGGCCTCGCGGGGGGGTGCAGATGCAGCACAGAGACCCCAGGAGCCCGTGGGAAACGCCCCCCAGCCAGGCAGCTGGGTCCACGAGGCCAATCCTGCTGCTGGTCCCTTATGGCACGGCCGGGCTGGGGTCCACTCTCCAGGTCCGAGTGGCCACGGTGCTTCAGCTCACCGTCCTCTTCCTCTCCGTAGCAGGGTCAGCGTGTGTCTGTCTGTCCATCTGCGGTTTCAGCCTTTAGCAGGACTCCACAGGGACACGAGCGGGTGGCCGCAGCCCTGGGCAGCTGTGGGAAGCTGGTGTTTAGGCGGCCTGGCCGGGCGGCAGGCGTTTGCTGTCCAGAATGGCCTTCCAGTCGTCGGTCCAAGACTGCAGCCTACGGCTGGGGGGCTTCAGCTGTAGGTGCTTGTTGTGGCAGGCCGTGAAAAGCACGTGCTCCCAGCTGGGGTTCAGCTCGGCCCCTGCAAAGTAAGGAGGTCAGCTCTCTGGACAACTCCTCCGTGAGACGCAGAGGTTGACCTTACTCCAACAGGAGGAGCCTGTGGACACAAACCCCTAACGAGAGCCTAATCAAGTGGGGAGGGACCAGCGCCCATCACCCCCGTCTGCCCCTCAGGGCTGCCTCCGGTCACTCCTGCCACCCCACACCTCCCTTACCTGTTATATCAGGTCTGTCGTCTATAAGCAGGTCAGCAGAAACCACCGTCTTATCTCGCGTCAAAACGATCTGCTCGAGAAACTCGGGGCCAAAGTGCTTCTCCACCCAGGCGTACTGAAAGGCGAGGGGTGCGTGGTGAGCACGGGAAGGCCGATGGACGGGGCAGGGGCTGCTCGGCGGGGTGGCAACAGTGCCCGACGGGAGCCCCGGCCCCCACGCAGGGAGGACATCTTGCTCAATAAGTTCTTTAGTGGGAAGGATTCAGATGCTGCTGGAGCACAAGTTCTTTTAAAGCCAAGCAGCTTTTGACATCGCGTTGAAATATTAGGACCAAGCGCCTCAGTGCATGCAAATGGCAGAGCTGTGCCGCCGATGGCGGAGCTGCCGCTCTGTGAAGATGCTTAGGAACAAAACTGGTGGGGCGGGGAAATATCGCTGCCGTTTTACAGCCGGACAGACGGAGGCATGCGGGAGTCAGCTGGCTTTCACCGGGCAGTGTGGCACGGGAGGGGGAGCTGGGATTCGGACCTGCTCACCTTCTCATAAGGGCAGTAGCGGTACTTCTTGATCGGGCTTGTGCAGATGAACACGTTGGTGCTGCCACGAGGAAAGAAACGGGGGCAGAGTGTCACTTGGTGGCCAAACACACCGATCAGACCCTGCTCCCCCTTGAGGTGCACCTGGCTGCCTCTGCGAGACCCCACTCGGTGCCTGAGCAGGCAGGTGCCCAAAGCAGATCCCCCGCCACACACAGATCAAACCAGGGTGACTCAAGACGTTAATCCCCCATCTCGCAGGATCCCACACCCGCAGCACAAGCATGTTCCTCTTTTCACCACCCTTGCTGGGAGCAGAGCTGAAGGGAAGGGACGGCACATGGCTGATTTCCTTGGCAACTGCTCCAGGAGTCAAAGCCCTCTCTTTCCTCCCATGCCCGGCGGGCTGGTAGGCATTTTTAACACTGATGTTGTATTCAGTGCTTCTGCCGAGAGGATGATGAGCCTGCAAAGCCACTGCAGCTCCCCCGTCCATCCCCAAATACCACAGGCAGGTTCCTACTCACTCTGCCAAATTTGCCATTTGCTTCACAGCTTCCACAGCCCCGGGGAGTGGGTCCAGCTCGATGAAGAAGTTCTTGGATTCCCAGATGCTGATGGCTTTCTCCTGTGAGGTGAAAGAGAGGGATTACTGTACAGGGCTTCTTGCTACTCTTCTCCCTGCATGTGCACCTTCCCCACCCTTTGCTAGGACAAAGGATGGTGACAGAGAGAAAGGTGGGAGCGCTGGCTCTGGTCCCCCCTCCTGCTAACCCACTTTGTCTCTGTGGGTTCCTCTGTTCCCCACCTGCAAACCCACATCCATCCCATACAATTTAGATCGGAAATGCTCTGGAGCAGGCTTGGGTTTGCCTGTGCAGCCCCAGACATGGGGGGACCAGCACGTTTCTTCAAGGCAAAACACAAAAGATTGTCCGGAACTGAACCAAACCCCGGGTCTGCGTCTGGAGGGGCACTTCCACGTGGATCCGGCTGACGTGGCCTGGTAGCCCTGCGGTAACGTGATCCTGTTCAGCTCCAGACGCTGTCTGGCCTATTTGTCTCAATCAGATCACTTAAAATAGCAGCCGGGCTGCTCTCATAAGAGAAAGTATATCATAGGACGAACTACCTGTCAGGATGAATGCAGATGCTCTTCCTCAGGGATGCCTGGGCAAGGTCTACCAGGCAAAAAGAGCATCTCCAGGCAAGGGTTTGAAACACTTAACATCCAGGTCAGCAGCCGGAGTGCACTGGTATGGCACACAGGGAGAGCAGAGCAGAGGGAGACCACAGGGAGGAAAACCTTGGGACGAGGGCAGAGTCCAGGGGCTGGCTGCGATGGGTCCAGCACAGCTCTAAGGAACAGCATCCCCTGCACTCCCTCAAACAGGTAACGGCTTGTCAGCCACCAGGCAAAGCAATTATTTTGCACAGACGCTGGGTCCTTGGGGAGGAGAGCCTGGGAGTGCTGCAACGCGGCTGCGGGCAGAGGAAGCAGACGCGTCCCGGCATTGCAATGCAGCTGAGCAGCTGCAGATGCGGCTGGGAAAAGTTTTGAAGGGAGCCCTGCCCTGAAGGATTGATCTTGATTTTGAGCAGCACTGTTTCTGTATTTGAGGCAGGGGGATAGGGACAAAAGGAACTTCAAGCCCATCCTGGCCTTCTTGTATTGCACAGTATGGAGGAGCCGGCAGAGCATTGGGGTAGGGGAGAGCAGCCTCAGTGATGCTTATATGCTGGTTGTTACAGCTCGTAGCAACAAACAGGCTGGCTGGACACGCCAGCTAGATTTGCAGCTCCCTCTTGTCTGATGAGCGGGAACCTAGTGGGTAACCACCACGTTTTGCCTTTACTACACCTGTACTGGGGGAAGAAAGCAGGCAACCACGAACAACTGGGGCTCTGCTGGGAACTCCAGGCTCAGGGCAGCAACGCCCCAGAGCGAACACAGGGGTCACTCAGGGAGTCATGCTCTGCTCCGCCCTGCTGGCTGCCCGTGCCAACGCCGCCTGCGCGCCTTGCCTGCTCTCAGGAAGATGAATGCATGAACCCATTACATATTTGGGCACTGAGCATGCCGGAATCAAACCCTGTATTTCTCAAAAAATTCCAGATAACGTGAGAAGACCAGACACCTCTCAGAGACTACTCAGATCAACTGTTGCGCTCTTCCCTTTTGCCTGAGCAGCAGAAAACATTGGTGGTTCAGAGGAGGGAAGAAAAGCCTTCTCCATACACGTTCCAAATGAAACATGCTGATTCGGTGCAAGATAGGCAGCAGAAATGCCTCCTGGCACCACGACAAGAACAGCTACCCTAACAGTTTGCCACGGGGCCAGGCAAACATTCAAACTCCAGTTGCTCTGCTTTAGACCGGTGAGCAGTGATGTTTTATTTTTAAGATACTGACTGTAGTTGCACAAGAGACATCTGAGAAATGCGGCCTGATGCAGCAAAGCACTTCAAACTGCGCTGAAGTGTTTTCTTACAGCAAGGACTTCCGTAGCTATTCTGCTTCCACTTGTGTCAAAAAGCATTTTGCAATCAAGCCCGACGGGGGAAGAACTAAGCTCATCTTGAAGAAAAGACCCGCTTGGCTCCCAGAGCCGGAGTAACTCCCTGCGGCACCGCAGCCAGCACGCTGCCTGGCAGATGGAAAAATTCCCCAGGCTGAGAATCCCACCACGTGTCAGGCAGGACAGACCCTCGATTTCCTTCTTCTTATCTCTCCCCAAGAGCAATTTCCCTGCCCATCCAGGGCTCCCCATCCTTCCAGGTCTGTGTGCTCGGTGTATTGCTGAGCTGTTGTTCTCCCTTTCAGAGCTGGGACCTTCAGCCCGTTGGACTCTTTGGCTCCTATTTTCTGGTCTCCTGCAGCAGGTCAATGGTGCTGTCTGACGAGGGGGGACTGGAACGGCCCATGCGCCCGTAGCCACGGAGCGGCTCCTACTCTCTTTATCCCCGGTCTGAAACCACGGGTGAAATCAGGGCTGCACTGAGGTCGGTCCGCGGAAGTTTTGCTACTTGTTCAGCCCAAGGTTTTGGCGGTTTTACGTGATCACAGCGGACACAAGATGAGCTCGCTTCATTTAACACATCCAAAGTAGTTAAGGCCAAGAAAAAAAAAAAGAGTTATCACGCATTACCCCTGCCAAACTTTTAGCATCTGCCTTACTGCATGAATGATGTCCTCCATTTCCCTCTCATCAATCCCAGCTAGAGGACACGTTATTCCTTCAGCTCATCAAGCTGTTTAGGACTTTGCCAGTAGGAGAGCCCCGGACCTTATTCACGCTCCCTTCCTTGTAGCCATCGTACCACTAACGACAAGAATACTTTTATTTGCTGTAACACCTTTCAACTAGTGCAACTGCAACCCGCAGATGAGACCACAGACATCCCATCGAGATGGGAAACTTGTAGAGGCAGAAACCGACTTTCTGCAGCACCCAGCCCTTCGCTGAATGATAAAGTACAACACAAAGAGAGCTTCTGCTTTGAGGCTGTAATTATTAAAATGAATACAATAATTTTCAGGCATGGGAGGGCTTGGGGTTCTTTTAAGTAAGCCCTCACATGAAGCGTCAATTGCACGGTTTGCTCTCAACTTCTCTGCTGCATCCCACCCCTCGCATTGCTGCTGAGGAACTAAATAATCCATCTAGGACCAGTATCAATCCACGCAGCTTGGCCAAATCAGAGCTAGAAAAACCCAGCTATGCCATTTGGGGTATTTTAAAACAATCAGATGTTCAAAGATCTCCTTTCCTTGCACTTATCTCCATCCATGCATGCAGGGAAAAGAGACAGATGTGCATGAAAAACGCTGGATTTCTGGGAAAAGAGGCCCCGCTGGAAGCCCTCCTGCATGCAGACCTGTACCTGCGTTTCGGTGGGAGCTCCGGCCAGCACCCGCAGTCCTCCCCAGCGCTGCACCCCCAGCTGGGGGCCAGTGGGTCCCGCGGGGCCAGAGCTCCAGCTGCACGGCACAGAGCGAACAAGAGCCACGCGCAGAGCCAGGGGATGCATAGACTCACACTCAGCTCGGGTCCCAGGCGCCCGTATTGCTCCGACACCCAGAAGCCCCTCCGGTCCTCCAGGGCAATGTAGGGCTTGTTGGGGTACCTGGCCCTGAACTTCTTGAGGAAGCCTCCCTCGAAGTCCGCCAGCACCCCGTCCATGTCCACCAGCACCCGCAGAGCCCTGCGGGACCCCGCTGCGGGGCCGGCCCCCCTGCCCAGCCCTGCGAAGGG